CCTGCAAGGCAAGGGTAGCACTGACCTTGCCATGTAGCCCAGGACGTGGGCTCGGATGATGGTCGCCGCCTTCCTCAGCTCCTCTTCCCGGGCCTTCTCCAGCTTCTGCTCCAGTGCCTCCTTCAGGAAAACCTGGCACCCCCGGGGGAGGAGTTTTACCAAACACAAAGAGAGGAAAGAGCATGTCCCAAGCAGCACCAGCAGGTCCCATGCCTGCCCGCCAGCCGTGACGAGACACAGAGGGCTCCTTCCATGCTCCCGCAGCAGAGCCGTCCCTGCTCTGCCAGCCCTTCCCTTCCCTTCTCAGGGCGCTTCTGCTGATGTGCAAGGGGAAAGTTGTGCAGGGAGAAGAGCCAAACTGAGCCCAACCCCCCACACCCTTTCCCACACAGTGCTCAAGGATTAGGGGGGGGGGCAGGGAGAGGGGAAAGAGAGGAGGAGGAGGAGGAGGAGGCTGCACTGCTCTCCACTTTTTATTAACCCTTCCTGCAGCACAGCTCTGCCTCCCAAACTCTCAGGGCCTGGACTTCCAGAGTTTTAGAGAGGCAGAGGGACAGGATGTCCAACCCACTGTGAGGAAAACGCATGCCAAGATGCCCATTCCAAGAAAGGGAAGGGGGAGGGGAGTGAGAATCTTTCCAGAGACAAACTCCTGCCCCGTGGCTAATTCCCCCACAGTTCCCCCAGCTTCTTTGCATCCCTTGCCTCAGTGCCAGCCTTCCCCCAGCTAGGAGGATTCCTTCTCACACCCACGGCCTGCTATTCCGTCTAACCTCTCCAAGAGCTATTCTACCGTGCACAGGATCAGGTAGTTCTTCTGCTGCTTCAAACCTACCTGGACAGGATACCACTTTGGGACCCAGTTGTTTGGCAGAAAGGTGAGCTTATACAAGTTTCAGACAAATAAACAGTATACTGAAGGCACTCTCTTCAGGGCTTTTTAGTCCAGTTTGTGTCACTAAGCCTACACTTCTGGCTTTGATGGGTGACAGGTAACCAGCAGGAGAAAATGCATACCCTATTAATTCCGCTGGATCCTTCAGTACCTTGTTAGTGATAGATGTAATAGTCTGACAGTAGAGTTTCATAAAATCCAATTTCTTCCTTGCCCGCCCACCCCTTTTACCACCCTATTCTGGCTACCACATTCACTCCAACACTTGCTTCTGATATCAGATCTGGTTGCACCACCAAATACATCAAACAAGTAATAAATCGGGGGGTGGGGGGGGCGCAGGGACAGTCAGAGAGTAATCCCTGACAAGGCTCTCTCTCTCTTCCAAGATCATCTTGCATTTTGAATGAAGCTTCTTTGGAGCCAAAGAGGGGTCAAGGAGGAACATGAAAATCTCATCTTCTGTCACCTACATCTGTGAAGATAGTTCTAGGTGGTCAGCCATGTTGGTCTGAAGCAACATATGTGGTTAGTCTTTCCTGCTTGCATCAAGAGAAAGCTACTCAGCTCCAAGGCTACAGATGCCATTGCATTCATATGTGCTCCCTTTCAGAAGCCAAGACAGAGGCAAAGACACACCAGCAACACAATGTGAGGTGTGCGATGCATTTCTGTGAAGCTCACCCCACCCAATGCCCTTCAATCAGTTGTGTTACTGCTGTACATCCAGACCAGACAGGCCTCCTTATTGCCCAAAGATCAGCCCCACGACAGTCCTCTGACCTCCTGTGTTGCAGAAGGGGAGGAAAGCATGGTCAGTCTTTTCCCCTTTCCCTTACACAGTACTGGAAGCACATGGTTCTTCTGCACTAAACTACTCTTGCTGCGGTGGCTCAAGTGGTTAAGACGCTGAACTGCAGGCTGTGGAAGGTCGGTAGTTCACCAGTTCGAGACCCGAGTGTGCCAATGATGGAGTGAGCTCCCGTCTCTAGTTCCAGCTCCTGTCAGCCTAGCAGTTCGAAAGCAAGAAATTGCAAGTAGAGAAATAGGTACCACTTCAGTGGGAAGGTAACAGCGTTCCGTGCGCATTGGTGTTTAGTCATGCCGGCCACATGACCATGGAAACGTCTTTGGACAGTGCTGGCTCTTCGGCTTTGAAACAGAGATGAGCACCGCAACCCTAGAATCGGATTCGACTGGCTTTCGAGCAAGGGAACCTTTACCTTTACATTTACTCTTGCAAAGTCTTCTTTCTGCTCTTTCTATTTAGATCTGAAGTTCCAAACCAGGAGCACAAGAGGCTTCTGATCATGTAGATATTTGTCAAGAAACCTATACTATGAATTGTGGAAAGATCAATGTGGATGCCATGTCATCTAAGGAACTTTGATGTGATGAATTAGCACATCAGACCGGGGGGGGGGGCATTTGGATAAGGAGAAGAAGAAGAGGAAGAGGAAGAAGAAGAGATTGGATTTATACCCCGCCCTTCACTCAGAGTCTCAGAGCAATTTCCCACAAGCCACTGCTCCGCCCTCGCACTTCCCTTTCCCATGATTACATTAGTCAATTTCCTACTACTTGCTGCGCTGCCGCATTTTGACCCGCAGCATCCCCTGATTTCCCCCGCGTCTACTCGATCCTGTTTTTTGAGGATCGAGTAGACATGGGGGAAATTGGGCAAAGCTGCGGGGTAAAATGTGGCTGCGTGGCAAGTAGTGGGAAACAGACTCATGTAATCATGGGAAAGGGAAGTGCGAGGGCGGAGTAGCGGATTGTGGGAAATCTGTCTCAGAGCGGCTTACAAACTCCTTTCCCTTCCCCACCTATGTGTATATACATATATTTACAGCTCAAACAGGTGCTGAACACATGAATGTGATCATGCATTGGAGAGGGGGAGCGCTTCTTAATTAAAACCAAACCCATGCCTGAGTCAAAGCCAGAACTTCATGGAGACTTGGGAATTTTGTGTTGGCTCTTAGGGAGCTTGGTGTTTGGTGCTTGCCAGTTAATGGCAGCATTTAGTTTTTAATTCTCAGTGTTTTTCTTAGAGCTCTGTCTGTTTTGGTTTGTTTTATTAGAGTGGGAGTTGATTTGGGTTCTTTCAAGGACTCTTAATCTTCCACTGGTGTTTACTGTTATCAATATTTTAGTTTAGCCTTGTTTTAGTCAAACATTTTTAATATTTAAAGTAATGAACTCTAGTTAAGCTCCGCAGTTGGTCTATTAGTCAGCGTTTGTTACTGCACTATTATTTCCTCTTGTGCTTGTTTACTTTATTCAATTTATTTACTTTATTTTTTATTTTTTTACTAAAGCCTTTTTGTCAAGTGTGCTTTTTGTTCTGATTCCCAGAGCGAAGACTACATTGTCCCCTCTCTTGGTGAAATTCACTTAATTGGAGCTACCTGCATTTCTGAACTTGCTTTGCTTCAAGCCAAACTATGAGTAAAAAAAGACCCATTTGGTGACCAAAAAGAAGATCTTTCTCTGAAGCAAAGCAAACAGAGTAAATTAGGCTGCGGTCACACGGAACATTAGCCACGCTAGAGAGCCGGAACATAGGCGGATTTTCCGGGCGCGATCTCACTGCCACATCTGGGAAGCGTAGAGCTCCCGTGGCTCACCTGAGGCTTCCTGCCGAAGATGCGGGGTAAAAAACTAGTACCTCCGAGGTACTAGTTTCCGGTAAGGGCGGGCATCTGATCACGTTTCCAATGGCATCCGGCGCCCGCCCATGTCCCCTTGCAAAAAGGTTCCCCCCCCACACCAAGTCTCCATGGATGCGCACAAGCACCCAACGGAGCATGCACATACTTTGGTGTACAAAAAACCCCCTGTTTGCTGCACCGTGCCGCTTCTTTGCTGCGAGGCAGGATTGTCCTATGATCGGCACCTCCCCCTACCCATGGGACCTCCATGGGACCTCCACTGAACCTCCACAGGAGGTCTGATCGCGCAACCACGTGTTATTTAGCCCCGGGGCAAACAACCATGCCTCCCCCCCACAATATCCGGCCTGTGTGACCGGGGCCTTAGATGACTTCTTTGACGCTTTCTCAAAATCTAATAGAAAACAGCCTTAATTCACCTTTGGATTTAAGTCATACTTCTTTGCCTAATGCTGATGATCCTATTGCTAATGGTACTAATGGTGCTAATGCTAAATTGGGTTCTTGCTCCTCAGATTTACTCCAGATTTCAGCGTCACAGACCCTTCTGATTGTTCACACTCTGCAGAAGATTTTCAGGAGTTTGGATTCTATTACAAAGAATTTCAGTTCCTGCACCTGTAATATCGTGTGCTAAATCTGAGATAAATACAAATATAATCTGTTCACCCGAGGAAGAGCCCTCCAATAATAGGGATTATCTGAGTGATGATCTAGATTCTGTTATATATGACCCTTTTACTGTTTTCCTCGAAATCTCCCCATATAGAGGGAAAACAATTTTTTGGTCTTCTAAGTGGCAGGTCAAGCGCCACTTGTCCTTTCTATTGGGGGTACTGGTCATCAGGATTGATGTAAAGAAGATCAGAAGGGTTTCTACGACATTTTATACTCAGAAGTTTTTGTTGACATTCTTTTCAAGGTCTGTTCTGCGTTCTCTGCTGGACAAAAGAGATTATCTGGGAAACTTTAATATTACTGTTAAACCACATTTTATTACCTCTGAGGTAAAACCACTTCTTCTAAAGAACACCAGAGAGTCTGTGGGTAAGCAAATGCCTTCTCAGCCTAGACCTGTGAAACATAATGACTCTACTGAAAAGCTCCATCTACCTCATGCTCTTTTGAGCGCGGAACCGAATTGTGACATTCCCCCACTTATAGATTTAACGGCACCATCACCCCGCAAGAAGTGCAAAGACCTTCCAGTACTAATGTGCTTTAACAATTTGAGCAACTCAGCTGATATTCGTGACTGTGGCGCGCCAGACTAGAAGCCCCCTCTCAGAGCTTCATGGGGAGGTCGGGACCAGCCGATCCCCCTCCCTGCCGCCCTGATCCGACTCGCCCCCATCAGAGCTTGATGGGGTGCGACCATCGCGAGTCGCCATTCACCGGAAATCCCATCACAACTTTCTAATGAGCCTTCATTTATTAAACAAACAGGGATTTTGGAGCAAGTGTTTCACCTTTTTGACCATTTGTTCTTTAAAAGGGTAACACAATTAAAACCACAACCTCTTTTTAGGAAAAAAAATTGATTCGACAAAGATTGTTATCAT